TTGTTTGGGAACCTTCTTTGTACTATTTTATACCCATTCCTTTTCAGCCCCTTGTGATAGCTCTTCATGAACAAAGCCATGTCATCAATCTTCATGTAATCAGCCCCATCATCTTCATCTTCACTTGAGGATGAACTTGGATCATCATTTTGTGGAGTTGACTTGATTTCCTTGGGCTGACTTGTTGATGCTTGCTTGCTGCCCTTCACCTTGTTGGAGGTGCCTTGATTGCTTGATTTATTGGCCTTGAGAGTTACTTCCTTGATTTTCATGCCTTCTAGCTTGGCTTGCAACTCACCAAGTCTTCTCCTCTCATTGGCTTCTTCTCTTTGCATGTCAAATATCAACAATCTTCCAAGCACATCATTTAGTGTGAAGTGCTCAAACTTCTTCTTATCTCTAATTAAGGTAACTACGGTCTCATTTCTTGGTGAGTAGGCTTCCAACATAACCTTCACCACTTTGTGATCATCAAGCTCATCACACCCATAGCCTCTAATCTTGCCCACCAAGGTCATCAATCTATCAAACATCTCTTGTGGCCCCTCTCCATCAAGAATCACAAACCTATTGAGCTTAGCCATCAACAAATCAATCTTTGCTTTCCTCACTTTATCAACACCTTCATGTGCTAGATGCAAAGTGTCCCAAATCTATTTTGCAACATTGACATTCATCACCCGGTTGTACTCATTTCCATCCAAGGCACTAAGAAGAATACTTGTGGCTTGGCCATTGAGATGGACAGCAGCTAACACCTCATTTGTTGGCACTTCGAGATCTTCCGGTGGCTGTAATCCATTCACCACAATCTTCCAAAGACCGGGGTGAAGACCTACAAGATAGGCACTCATCAAGTGCTTCCACTTGGCAAAGTTTGTCCCATCAAAATGAGGTAACTTGCCCGCGGGTATATTGATAAAGGACCTTTTGTTATGGTTAGACAAATAAGAATAATTAAAGGATACGGCGGCATATTTGTTCTTGTTGTTGTTGCTGCCCTTGTCATCGCTATCCTTCTTCTTGTCCTTGCTCTTCACCTTCTTGCTATCTTTTGAAGCATGGTATGACACATCATCATCTCCATCATCCGAGCTACTAGAGAGCTCACTAGATGATGCATCATACTCATTCTTCTCTTGCTCTTGAGCTCTTGCTGCCCATCTCTTGGCTCTTGCCTCTCTTGTGATTCTTCTAGCTTCTTTTCTTTTCTTCTTGCCCTTGAGCCGCTGCTCTTCCTTCTTCTTTTCTCTAGCTTCTCTTGCTGCGATCTTGGTGGCTTTTCTTTCTTTTCTTGCCTTTCTTCTTTCGGCATCGATGGTCTTGGCTACTTTGATGGTGGCATCACTTGCGGTCGACATGGACAAATCGCTGCTGCTGCCGACATCCTCGACGTGCACACCACTTGCGTCCGCATCGCGAATGGTCCTCGAACCTCCTCCTTCTTCCATACTTCACGCGGTGAAGCGTATATGAAACAACCTCGCTCTGATACCACTTGTAGGATCTCTAGGAAGATAAAGGAGGCCTAGAGGGGGGGGATGAATAGGCCTATAAAAATTTAACTCAAAACTCTATCAGAACAGAGGGCGGCACTGCCGCTCTTCGAAAATAAATCTAACACAGCTGAGATTTTACAGAGATGAACTTGACCCCTTTAGCTGCTTAATCCTGCAATAGAAAGATAAGATCCAGTTCGAAGACTGAATATCACAGAAACTCCACACAAGAGTGGATCGAGCAACCAAACCCTAACACCAGCTAGTAATGAGCTAAACCAGCAAGTAAACAAGATGAAGCACGCGAAACACAAGATTTATCCTGTGGTTCAGCTCACCACAAAGGTTTGCCTAAGTCTACGTTGTTGAGGAAGCCACAAAAGGCTTGGGCTTGCCACAAAGGCTTGCCTTACCCTCATTCTCAAATCAAGAGGATGAACTCTTGAAGTGAGAGGTGATTTCTTAGCTCTGAGAATAAGGTTACAAACCTCCCAAGGCTGCCACACGAGTTGACAAGCTCAAGGGTGACGCCTAGCCGGCTAGGAGCAAGCTCCAAGAGTAACAAACCCTAGAACCGCCGGCCAAACGTGAACCAAATGCTCTTAGACTTTGGGAATCAGTGGATCTGCTCTTTAATCGAGTTTTGCTGCCTTTTCTCTCAAGTTTTGATGGTTGGAATCAAGGATTTTTGGTTGAGGGATGGAAGAGCAACAATGGTGGAGAGAAGGTGAGCTTTGGTTCTGTTCTGTTTCGAGTAGAATGAGTGAGTGAAGAAGATGACCATTGTGGGCTGGGCCTGAAGGGTATAAATACCCCTTGGGTCCAACGGTCAGTTAAGGGTGGCACTGTCGCTCTTAACAAGGCGGCACTACCGCCCTAGCCAAAATAGGTAAGTTGAAGTGAAATTTGGCTGGCTGTTTTGACTAGGTGAGAGGATGTAAATCTAAGAATTTGAGCATCTGGTTCAACAGTTGACCAACTGTCCTAAAATCCCTCTTAATAGTACGGCTTTCCCTAAACTCAATTTCAAAACATAAAAGAATTTAAATCTCCTTTGATCTAGGTCTGGCCACCTTTTGTAATTAGGACACCTGCAACTTGTACATCATCCTCATTCTTTGATTCCCTGCTTGTCATCTCGATAAATCTCATTAGTCCTCTAATTTGGTGGTCATCAATGCCAAAACCCACAATAGGGCTTGATTGCACTTACAGTTTGTCATACAATTGTCCACTAGGCACATATCATTCCACATTCGAATGATTCCCGTACAATCTATATATGACAAGAGTTTAATGAAATTCTCGTCTAATATATAGAAATCCATAAATATTGCCGAGTATCAAATACATCGATATGATACCCACAATAGTTATGCGTTGACAACACAAATATTACAATATCTTCGATGGACATTATCACATATTATCAACGGACGATGAGATTTTCCTAAATCTCAAAACAAATCAATCGAAGCATATTCGATGATCATGTCCATCTATGTGATGTTCTCTTTACGAGAAAAGAAGAAATGTAGTTATGTGATCCCATAAGATCCAGCATAAACAACAACCTCCTATGTAGCTTCAGATTTTAAGACTGAAACACCCTTCATATCTTATTTTTGTAGCTCCTGTTTTATCCCATTAGCTACAAATTTAAGAGTACGACATTGTTTAGCGCTATGCTAAACACAACCACATATATGACATTACTCTTTGTCATTCTTGGGTTCATATTGCCATCACTCATATTGCACATTAGGCCTTTTGCTTTTACTAGTGGAAGCAAATTGTATGAACAATATGATCATAGTCTTCAATAGTTTGAAAAACTAGAGACATGATCCACTCATGATTAATCTCAAGCTATATGAGTTTATTTATTGTTCATAAAACTCCTAAAGAGTGAGCCACGAAGAATGTGCATTTCTTTCCACAAGATAATCTTATCGATGATCTTGATGGACGTAGTACTTTAACTACAATAAGGCACAATTTTCTTTGATCTATAACAAACAACCCCTAATTGAGGTTCATTAAATTGTTCCGTTAGTCCATGGGATAAAATCAATGTTAATATCCATTGTCCATGTGGGATAGTGATGCCATCAAGAGCGAGTTCATCCGACTCCTCTGAAGTCAGTATCCACAACATGTGACAAACCATTGATTTAATTAATTTACACCTAAGGTAAATTAAAAATCACTATGGTGATGTTGTAATCTCTAATGCAAAATTTAGGAGGTTCCATATCTTTGTCACTTTGTTTTGGATTGTTAGAGATAGTCAACAAAACTGTAAACTTTCCAACAATTAGAGGTAATCACAAGATGTGTAGACCTCATGAACAATCATTATTAATGTTGACACACACATTGTAGATAATCTCTATGTCTGAAACATAGAGTAGATCTCTCAGTAGTAGGCAAATAAATTGCTGCTATAGACATGGTCTCTGGGCTGATATATTCTTATGAATATACCGCAGCCAATGCCTAAGACTCTACCATAAAAGTGTACCATTCTCATATTTCCAAAATACTTATTTGGGACAATACAATGTCAGTAATCATCAAGTTTAAATAAACATGATGTAGACCTCTCAATAATGTGCGAATAGTCGCTATCATAGGCACGGTCTCTGGGCCGAATAATTCAAGTTGAATTAAACACAACCAATGCCTAGGACTCCATCACCTCTGTTATGATCCCAAATGTATCCAAGATATGAATATAACAATTTTGCATAATCCATAATCAATTAAGAAGTGCTTAATTAGGATGATCTACCATTGTTAAGATATAATTTATGAAAAATTTACTAAATTAATAAGGTCAACAAAGTACAGATGCACTTATAATATTAAAGTCATAGACTAAAACAGAAACTTACTAAGCATATAGTGCTATAGTTGGCTAGTGGCATAACTATGCAAAATCCGATAGGATCGAAACAAAAATATGCACTTTCTGTGTTAGCCTCACAAGCGAAAATGGTTTGGCTGCCATTTTGCCTTTTCGGATAATGAGCCAAATCCATCCCTCTTTAATTAACTATCAATTAATTAAGAGGATCCAATTTTGTTGCAACCAAAATTGATTGCCGAACAACAAAATCGATAAACTATATATGCTTAGACATATATAATTTTCTGGTCTAAAAACAAAACAATGTATAGAAGTAAAAACTTTACCATACCAATACTGTTAAAGTTCATGACTAAAACAGAAGACCATAGACACAGAAAATATGTCTCAACATTAACATAGTAAATAATTGCAATATATTATATTATGACGCAATTTCTAAGAACACATGTCTCAAAAATTGGTTATTTACACAAGGTAAATAATTGCATCATATTTTATTTAGATACAAGGTCTAAAACGAGCATTTATAGGATATATAAATGCCATATACTCCGGTGATGTATTGAGGCTAAACATAAAATAAGAATACAGTAATAATCCAATAGGTTTAGCAATAGCAATGTAATTCAGAGAAAATGGAAAGGTTCAGGTGCAAAAGGGCACAATCTTATCCCTTCCCAGTCCCCATCCCCTCCCACGGACGGTTTCTCACGGGTCACGGACTCACAACGTGAGAGCGTGACACCAACGCCGCCGCTGTTTCCAGTCGAAGGGGCGCCCGAGCGAGTGCAGCCACCTGCTCCGAGTCGAAGGGGCGCAGCCGCCTCTGCTCCGGGCCGAAGGGGCGCAGCCGCCTGTGCTTCGAGCTGAAGGGGTGCGACCGCCTGTGCTTTAAGCCGAAACGGCGCGACCGCCTCTGCTCCGACGAAACGGCGCGCCGCCACTGTGGATCCGGCCGCCAGCGCCAAGCCACGGTCGCCGCCGCAACCTGCGCCGAACTCGGCCATGGATGCCGTCGCCACCTGTGTGTGCCGTGCGAGGCCTCGAGCGCCGGGCCGAGGACGCCGGCGCAGGAGCTGCTAGCCGCCGCGCGCGAGGCGCCAGCGCGGGGGCCACGTCCGCGGGCGTGGGAGGGTGCCACCAACGACGGGCCATCAGCTACAGGTGCGGCAACCGCCGTGGCGAGCTCCGACCATCGCCGTCGCTCTGAGCCACAGCACAGCGACGTCGGCGATCTCGTCGCCGGCGAGTCCTTGGGGAACTTCTTCTCTTTCCCTTCTCTCGCCGTCGGCGTCTGTGGAGAGCATGCGTGTCTGATAACGTGTTAAGAGTAAAGAGCACGAGACAGGCGAGCTATGCAAATGATCTCGGTCGTATTCTCAATGAACAATATGTATATATATACAGCGTCCATGTGAACGGTTAAAATGTAAAAGAGAGTGTCTAAGAAAATCTTGCTATACCTTTTTTACTCAATTAATATATAGAGGCTAAAAAATCTAGTCCATATTTAATTGCCAATCAAAGATTTCTCAACTTAGTCAAGCTTTGGGCCTCTAGCCCTCCAACGCAGAGTCCGCGCTCGGGGACCGCCCTTCATCTTCCACGACGGTGACGGGTCCGTGGGCCGAGCCGCCGAGGTCATCTGGTATGGACGAGCCGATCTGGAGACGGAGTCGAGCCTGACTGGAAGCTCGTCGTTGGTTAAGCTGGCTCGGCTCGAGTTTGTGCTGGGCTCGAGCCTGTGCACCTGAGCTCGTTCGTGCTCGGCTCGTTGACATCCCTGCCAGTTTCTACTGGCTATAACTGCGCCGCCGCCTTCCCCTTGCTCCTCTGCTGCCTCTTCGAATCGGGCACAAGAGACTGGGAGTAGAGTGGAGCCCAACGGATTGAACGATTGGTATCGAATCTTTTCCTCAACCCGTCGATTGGAGTTGCTCCGCACTATGGAAATCCTCTGATCTGGTAAGTCCCAACAGCCCTTTCCTGTGAATTTTTGGTCGAATTATTTACTGGGGTCGTGGTAATTCAGCAGACTCCGGTCGAGGACGGTTCAAATTCGATCTGTATTATGCTATCACACAAATACGAGGGGAGGTCGTAGAAGGCGTTTTGATGGGTTTCTTTTCGAGCACTCACTCTCGATTTGATATTTGTAGCTGATTTGGGGATCGGAGGCTTCTTGATTTATGTTGTAGGGACTTCTCTTAGTTATGTGATTTGGTCAAGAGGTGTGGAAACCCATTTTCTCATATTCTCGTTGCTGATAGGTTAATTGAGATGATTCATTGATAAAAAAACCCTCAGTTTTTAAGGTCATCGTGGTCGAATTTCTTATATAGTTCACTGTTGGCTGCTGCTTTCTTGTATCATTCCAAAGTAAGTGCGCGTCAAAGAGGTCCTATCTTCCACCTCTACACGACTACACTTCTAAAAAGAGAAGCAGCTACCAATTCCTGTTCTCTGGGAAACTTTGCAAAACAAAATTGATTCTATTGTGGCCATCTTTTTATAATCTGTGTAAAAGGTGATGTCTTTAGCAGCATTCTTGCTGGATTTTGCTATTACTGGACTACGAAGATGTTTTTGCTCAAAACCCAGAAAGATACCATATTCCACTGAGTTCTAAATTCACTGCAGACTGAGCTTGTTCTTGTCAAATCGATACAGGTGTTTTTTCTTTGGCAAAATGCAACCTAATGCCCGGGGAATCGATGGTTGAACTTAGATGTTTACCCCTAGTTCTTAAGGCCAACCCTTTTTTGAAATGAAAAGCAGACCAGGCTCACCTTGGGGAGTCTTGTTGCCTAGGTGATAAGACGTACGCAGCCCGCCTTGGGTCACCCTTGAAATCATGGAGCCAACTATTACCTTTATCCAATAAAATAAGTGCCACATTATAGTGCGTGTAGTGAAAATAATAATAATGTGTGCTACCAAACTATTTGAACTCTGAGCAGCAAAACCCTTATAATTATTTAAACTGGTGATGAACAAGGTTGCAAATTGGCTATATTCAATTTGATATTGCTTCCAATATATTATAACTCTAATAGGTTTTACATGCTATGACTATAGAAAGTCATCAAAAGTGGAGCTATTAAGGTACAAAACAGCATTTATCTGTGTCTGAAGAGATTAGCAGAATTTATTCATGTAGTGGTGCAGATGAATTATCTAGTTACTGAATAACAATTTTCTCCTCAGATTAGGTGCATAGAATGTGTTTTTGTGATTTGCTAGAATGATGCTCTTTGCAGGTGAACTGAGTATATTTCCGGTAGAAAGGAACTTGGTCAGTAAAATACCTTCTGAGGCAATATGACGTCGGTAGGTCTACTCTCATCAGGTTATGAAGCGAGTACCAGTGGAACCACTGATCGATTGCCAGATGAGATGAACGGGATGAGCATAAGGGATGAAAAGGTAAAAATTTGGAGTGGAGAGATTACTTGATATCTGTTGCTACCACTTGTTGATTTTATTTGCAAATTTATCAGGAGGTGGAAGCCGTTGTTGTCAATGGCAATGGGATGGAGGTTGGTCATACTATCGTGACAACTGTTGGTGGAAGAAATTCACAGTCGAGGCAGGTACTAGAAAAAGCACAGCCATGGCAATCCTTAAATGTCTGTCTAGTCCCTAGTGCAACTTCATGTGGCAATGGCTGTGCAACATATACTATGAACAATAATAAAAATTGATACTATGTGCCAGAGCCTCTAATTGGGCCATTTTCAGTCCCTCTAAAGGAAGCTTCAAGGTTCATAACAAATGAATCATTTATTAAATTGCAGACTATTAGTTACATGGCAGAACGTATCGTGGGGCAAGGTTCATTTGGAGTTGTCTTCCAGGTCAGTTGTTGGACACAAAGATTCTGCGTTTCTTGTTCTATGCCATAACTCTCATATTCCACTTGTGTTTTTATGTTTTTTTGAAATCACAATTAACAGGCCAGGTGTCTGGAAACTGGTGAGAGAGTAGCTATAAAGAAAGTTCTTCAAGATGTGAGATACAAGAACCGTGAGCTGCAAACAATGCAAGTTCTTGATCACCCAAATGTTGTATGCTTGAAGCATTACTTCTGCTCAATGACTGATAAGGAAGAGCTTTACCTCAATTTGGTGCTTGAATATGTGCCAGAAACTGTTCACCGTGTTATTAAACATTACAATAAGATGAACCAACGGATGCCGTTGATTTATGTTAAACTCTATATGTATCAGGTAAAGTCTGTGACTTTGTAAGTACCTTTCATTCTTTCAATACAACTTTGATTGTGTCCTTTTTTGTATCAATAGTTCTTTTTACTGAACCTGTGCATTTCGTTGGACTAAATTTACAGATCTGTAGAGCTTTGGCTTACCTGCACAACTGCGTAGGAGTATGCCACAGGGATATAAAGCCACAAAATATTCTGGTATGCGTGTGGGTTAGATTTCTTAAAATGTTTAGAGAAACATTTGGTTTGATTGTTGGTAATTTTGACTTATTTTATATTGAATAATTCTTGTGACAGGTGAACCCACATACTCATCAGCTGAAGTTGTGTGACTTTGGCAGTGCCAAAGTCTTGGTATGGACCGTAACTTACTAGATGTGCTGAATGTCACCTGAAGCATCACATGTTTTGTGTATGCCATCTAAAATTGTGAAATTCTATATGTTAATAGGTACAGGGGGAACCAAATATTTCATATATTTGTTCTAGATACTACAGAGCTCCAGAGCTCATATTTGGTGCTACGGAGTACACAACAGCCATTGATGTGTGGTCTGCTGGTTGTGTTCTTGCTGAGCTTCTTCTAGGGCAGGTAAGAGATCAACCAAGTTACTGTGATATATCAGCCAACTTTGAAGCAACTTCTTCATAAGATACCTGTTGTTGGATAGCCTGTTTTCCCTGGGGACAGTGGTGTCGATCAGCTTGTTGAAATTATTAAGGTAATAGTGACTTCTTTCAATTGAAGGTCTAGCTTGCTAGTTATCCATTTCCAGTTGATGACTCATGGAGGCTTATTTTTTTTCAGGTTCTAGGTACTCCAACACGGGACGAAATTAAGCGCATGAATCCAAACTACACCGAATTTAAGTTTCCGCAAATCAAAGCTCACCCATGGCACAAGGTAAAAGCTACACATCTTTCTTTTTTCCTTTCGTTTGATGATGAATGCCTTCTATTTATATTATTATTCTATATATACTGTGAAATCTAATGATTCATATTTTTCACCAGATCTTCCACAAAAGAATGCCATCTGAAGCTGTAGATCTTGTTTCTCGGCTTCTGCAGTACTCACCAAACCTCCGGTGCACTGCAGTAAGTATTAAACACTTCATCTTGGGAAATCCGTTGCACTTACCAATGATATTTGTTTCTTCTCTCTCTGACAGTTGGAGGCGTTAGTCCATCCATTCTTTGATGAACTGCGGGACCCAAACTCGCGTTTACCAAATGGTCGTTCCCTTCCCCATCTCTTCAATTTTAAGCCTAATGGTAAGTTCATGCTATTTCTACATTTGCACCAGCTGAACTTTCAGTAAATCCTGATGTGCATTGCTTGAACAGAGTTGAGAGGAGTACCAGCGGAGTTTGTTGTGAAATTGATTCCCCAGCATGCTAAGAAGCAATGTGCCTCCTTTGGAATTTGAGAAAGCAGTTATTTTTTTTTTCAGAAAAGAAAAAAGAGAAAAGAAGGAAGCAGCAGTTCAGAGGTTACCTGAGTATTTATTACATCAACGTTCTGTTGAACCGCAGAGTAACATTAGCCTACGTATTATCAGGTAGGCAATGGATGCTGTTATCTTTCACACTGGCTTTGACATCGCAAGTTTGTTCTACCACGGTGGTGAGAATTTTCACCACATTCTGTAAAGCAGATGAAGACATAAATCGAGCGGTCATCCATTCTTGTGGTCTGTATATTGGTCTGCCCTGATCATGAGAAAACCGATTCTTTGCATATCTTTTTTTTTTTGGAGATGGATTCGTTGCATATCTGTATCACCAAATGAAACAAGAACATATGTATACTTGATCTGGATTCCTGTATCAGTATTCAGCTACTCCATGGGAGTAAAACCCTGTCATTCTCTAATAGTAATGAACAGGAAAGGTCATCCACAGATGTCTTTTTCAGCTGAAGTTATTATTTTGTATTTCTATATAATATTTATTTTGTGTGGGCCCTCGGGTTGTAATGCAAAAGTTGATAATTGTTGGTACTCGTAGTTCTTTTGTTACCTTTTTTTATCCGCTGCAGGTGACTGAAGATTCATTCAAGTGTCAGTCAACAATCTGGACCGCAGGATCCAAATCTAACGGTAGATGTGCTTTCTTCTTCCTCCTGCTGCTCGCGTCTAGATCCAGCTCGCGCTGGAACCCAAAGTCGGCGCCCTTGCTGCGCTACCTGGCCTGTCCATTCCCCGGCGGCCGCGGGACCCTCCGCCTCGCCCTCGGCGTCGTAGCAGTCCCAGTTCGAGGGAAGGTTGCGGCTACGGGGGGCCGGACGAGGTGGTGGCGGCGGCGGCGGCACGCTTCTGCCTGTGCGCTGCCGCGGCGGCGGGGTTCCGGTGGACGCGGCGGCCGTGCACCGTGTGTGAGCACTTCGACTTCGCCGCCGCCTTGGGATCCATCAGGGAGGACCGGAAGAGGGCGCGCGACCATGCGAGTGCGGGATGAAGACACGAGACTGAGGGGAGGCTTCGGCGGTGTGCTGTTGCTTCTATTATTGCATTTTTGCCCTGTAAGCTTTTTCTTATGTCGTGGGCGCATTGATTGATATGTAAATAAAAAATCAGTCACCTGCGATTAAGTAAATCTGTTTTTTAATAAGTATATAAATATTTGCTGTTCTTCGACTCTGAATGTTGGAAACAGTGCAACTCAACGATTTGATGCTCCAGTTGGGATGCGAATGAGCTTTGCATGTACTCCGATATGTTAGCTTCATATCTTAAGCTACTTCTGACAGTTTTTTTCTACCTAAATGATTTGGACGAAACTCTAGTCTAGGATCTTCACAGAAATGGTGAACGCCTTGTACTCAGGTACCGGAGACTTAAGATTTACCAATGATAACTCATACGCATACTGGTATGGGAAGGAGGAGAGGATTGGGTACCATCGAATCGTTGGAACGTAGTAGGAAAACCTCATCTCACAGTCGTTCAGAAGTCACCGTAATCCCTCACGCGGCCTCATGCCCCAAACAGGCCCATAATGAACATCTCCTCCTCCTTTCGTCCCTGCTCAACTCCGCCGCCAGGGGACGGGGATGCCCTTGTGAGCCGGCCGTGTGAAACGCCCCATCCTGGTCCTGGCTGTGTTCTAGGACGGCCACCTACGCTCTAGGCACACCACGCCGCCGAGTTGTTCGGATCGCCGGCCGCATCAGTTGGTCTGGTGGGTGTATTGTAGGTTGATTCAAGAACTTGGAAATTGTATCGAATCGCGGCCAGGCGGCCCCGTCCCTGACTGCGTCTCCAATTTCACAACCTCGCGTTGCCAACAGTCAACAGGTATCGATCGATCTATTTTGTAGAAGTATAAGTATTGCTTTTGCATTGCAACTCGCAAGTCGTACAGACACAGAGATAAGGCCCATTTGATGTGGAGCGCAGGGGTGGCTCGGCCCGTCGGCCAGGCCCAGGCCAGCCACAGCCAAGCCCGGCCCAGTGAGCACAGGTGCTCGTGTTCGATTCCACGCACCAGTACAGCCTGACCCTAGCAGGCCTTTGTTTGATTTACCTCTGGGAGTCAGGCCCATGACTAACTAACTCTAGCTACCACATGCATATTGTGTTTGATATAGACCTGGCTCACCATGTCTCATGAAGCAACATGAGAATGTACAAGTGATTTGCAAATGAACCACTACCTTTATGAAAATAAAAATGTAAAAGACAGTTACAACAATATGAACTACTTAATAGTGACAATCAGGTGGCCTCAGACTAAATATAATGAATGGTTCATACAATCCTAGCTGCCTCAGCTGAACAAAAAACAAGGCAACAGACCAACAACAAGGCTCCAGTAGCGTATATCATCGACATGGAGAACATCCAACAACCAGATAGGCCATCGACATGGTAACAAGGCAACCAACAACGACAGGAATGGATTAGAGAAATACAGAGAAACTGAGGCAGCTAATCCATCATCTTTTCTTAGTCATCACAGGCCTAAGTTTGGCACTTTGGACTGTCCAGTCATGGTCACCCTTATTCATAGTCCAATCACCACAATAAGCAGTGAGATGATTACCACATTTTTCCAACAGCAAGACTTACCATCAACAGAAGGAATACCTTGACAACAGTCATCAGGGAGCATCTGAGAGGGGAGAGGAGTTGCTGCTCCTCGAGATGCATTGAAATCCCTAAGTGCCTTCTTATAATTTTTGTACTTCAAATACCTTGCATTCTTGATCCCAAGAACCTGTTCACTGCATTCATACCAGGTTCTGTAGATTCCAGGTTGCTTCCCATGGAAAACCACGTAGCAAGGAGCCATTTGCTGTGAAATAATAAAGTTCATTAGCCTTAGTCAAATGTAAATCATGAAACAAGCCATGAGTATGACATTGAAGATCTCAGGATTGAGAGAAGAAACAACCCATGATCCTAAATGCCACACCAATGAGGTGGTTCATCTTGATCAACTTCAACTGTTGACATCATAGGCTAAAAAAATAGTGGCCTCAGCTTAGAATTTGGTGCTGCAATTCATGTAAGTACTCATCACATGTGGCTGCACATGTAGCAAACAAGTCCAGAAAAGCAGCAAGTTTGAGACTGCAAATAAGTAGGAACAGAACATCAAGGCTACCATGGAACCCATCTGGCCATCCATTCTCTGCCGTCATCCAAGTGGTGTTGCAAGAGAATGGATGGTTCAGATGGATTTGATGACAGTCATGAAAACCAACAAGAACATGCCATGAAAAAACAATAACAACAGGAAACAGTTGTGCAACCACCTCATAGTTTTTTCACATTTTACATCATAGGCCAGATCAGAAACCCACTTTAGGCACCAAGTCATAGAAACACAGGTATCAAATCCAAGAAATGACAGAAATATATGAAAGCATAAAGTCAAGATTCAAGCAAGGCCATCCCCAATATCATGAAGGCCATGAAATCCATGGGCACATCCATTCAATGCCATCAACATGGTATGGGCATGCTATTTCTAGGGAATGGATGTGTCCCACGGGTTCAATGACACCCATGAACAGCACAATCTAATACAGTACTCCCAATGCAATAGGAACATAAAGTGACAAATATAGTAGCAGTAGCAGTAACCAACAGAGGTTACTAATTAATACATCAAGTTTGTCTCCAAATAAAGGCTCAGCCCACAACAAGTAGGCACTTAAGTGAACTACCAAGTTACACTTGGTCAGATATAGTTAGACACCCTCCAACTATGCAAACTCAAAAGGACAGGTGCTGGTTAGTCATCTACCATGCACAGGAGCTACACCAAAATGGAACCCAAAAGAGAAGAGAGTGGGTGAGGGAGGTGGAGGAACTATACATCTCAACAGTCAACCCCCTCTTTGCCTTGCTGTCCAAGTTGGACAGAACTACATATAGTAGTTCTTAGCAAGGTAGTTTCTCAGCCAAGTGTCCCTATGACTGTCCGACATGCTCACAAAGCCCCTGTCAAGGGCCTTATTTTCTAGAAGGTAGGTGTAGGCAATAATGAGAGCTTCATTAGTAAAGCCCTACATCTCCATGACTACAAGATAGAGGTCAGGATCCACATGTGCAGGCCCAATCTCTCTAAGTGCACTAGCCACATTGTTGACAGCACTGTCATGTTAGTCATCATAAGCATCTCTTCCTCACTGAAATTTCCCCTCTTCCTCTTTACCCCAACAGTGGAACTCAGCAGTTTAGTAGCCTTGCTGCCCTCACCAATCTCAGGGCTGGGTTTGACATTAGCAGCAGTGGTGATGCCATGGCCCTCTATCTTAGCAGCAACACTGTCAACATGGTTCACCCCAAGTGGCTCACTGGAACCTAGGGCAAACCAACCAATGGCCATAGAACTACCAAATATGGTCTCCATCTTAGTGTAGAACCTAATTGGGGGTGTTGAGGAATTTAGCATCCTTAGGATGGTCCTGTAGTCATGTGTGCTTAATTAAATAAACAGGAAAGGAGAGAAATAGTGGGTTGAACAGAAGCAGGGAAGAAGAGAAACAGTGAATTGACTCATTTTCTACCTTGTAGTGGCCTAGGTAGTGCTCAGGTTCCAGCATTATGGCATTGACATCATGATCAAACAGTGCACCACTAAGGTCCTTCAACTTCACAACCCTAGCCCACTTCTGCCTCCACTTACTTAAGTGATTGTACACTTGAGTAGGGCTCACAGCTTCACCACAGTACTCCTTAAGAGCCTTTGCCACATAGTTCACATCCTTATCCTTGAAGCACTTGTCAGTCCTACTGCCATCAGACACTATCCATGCCATCCTCCTAAGAACAAACCCAGAGGTATTGTTATTACACCTCATGGGGCCTAGCACCACCAGCACCCCCTGGGCAGGCACTACCTTAGGTGCATTGGCCCCCACATCAACCACCTTAGGTGTAGCAAACAGCCCCAACTGGCCCAGCACTAGCCATAGCAGCCATGTCAGCAGCTACCACAAACCCAACCATTGTAATAAGGTCACCATCCATGACATGAAGGCAAGTATCAACAACAGATAGTATATGAAGAACATGTAGAAGATGAACAATACATAGACGATGAACAACAGATAGAAGATATATAGTAGTTAGGTCTCAGACATGTCCATGATAACAGAATCATCTAAAAATGAAAGCAAGTAGGTCTCAGTCATGTCCATCAGTTATTACACATGATTAATACACCACATGAGTTTCATATCCATGGGTCTAGAAACTGAAATAATACATGAATGGAAAGCATGAATCAAATCCTAGTAGTACCCCTACCAGCCCACATGGCATTGCAAATGCCATCCCTCCTATTAGACATGCCAGTGGAGTCTTAGGACAACATGTCTCCCACAGGCTAGGTTTCATTAGCCTCAGGCTGGCTGCCTAGGAATCCCTCCTCTTCTAGGACTACTTCATCAATGCCAAACCCAATGATCCAACTATGGAGAATGCAACAGGCCCATACAAGCTTCACTTGTGTCTTGTATGTGTGGAATGGTTTGTTGTCTAGGATACAAAATATGTTCTTCAGTGCACCAAAAGCTCTCTCCACTATCACCCTAAGGGATGAATGCCTTAGGTTGAACAGTTCTTTGGCATTGGTAGGATAATTGCGGCTCCCATATTCAGACAAGTGGTACCTTACCCCCCTATAGGGAGGGAGGAAACCAGTGCGACAAGCATAGCCAGCATCTACCAGGTAAAACTTTCCTACAAGTGGACCAAACCATATGCTACAGTGAAGGCTTATGGCAAGTTAAAGGACAACATTGTATGGACTAATGAATTTAGTTACCTTTAGGAACTGTGAACCCATCATTCCTGTCAATTGCATCAGCAAGAATGAGTGCATCATGGGTAGAGCCCTCCCAACTAGCTAGGACATAAGTGAACTTGAGGTCAAAGTCCATAGCAGCCATCATATTTTGTGTGGGGTTGTGTTTTCTACCCCTAAAAACCTACTGCATTTGTCTAGGCACCCTTGCCAACACATGTGTGCCATCAATGGCACCAACACAATCCTAAAAATTGTTAAGGATAGTGGATAAGTGCACACATGTACAAATGATTAAACCTAAGGCAGATAAACATGATTAACATGTACCTACAAATAAGGGTACCATCTTGGCTACCCATAATTTTTGGATGTGTGCCAGTGGTAGGAGGCTTGATCATTTTAGTCCTAAGCTCACCAACAGCATAAAGAACTTGGTGGAAGACTCTACTAACTGTCTCAATGGACCTCCTAAATGACTGATGAACTACCCTGAACCTCTGGTTGTGACCAACCACATGGAGGAACATTGCAACCTGCTCCTCAATAGAACACCCACTGATTTCTAGAACTAGGCCTCTACCTCTAAAAAGGTTGCATAGAGCAAAAAAAGGAGCTCTGGTCATATGTAACATAGCCAGACACTCAGCATCAGTGGTGTTGAATATCATTTGGAGGGTTCCTAGCCTATGTTGCTGGCTTAAAGACCTAGGACCATAAGGTACAGACTCAAGTTGGGCCCTAATTCTCCTAAGTCTAGTGACAAAAAAGGATAGCATAACCACAACCATGGCAGCTGCTTGCCTGGCCATCATCTCACGTTGTGCAGTTGGATCCATCTACATGCATTCAACATTCATACATACATCTCAGTTCTAGTAGACCCTAGCTGGCCTCAATATGAAAGTGCAATCATTCACAACAAGATGAAATAGCATTGCTGCATAACAAAAATGCCTCCGGTGCATTGGACATATTCATCACCAACCATATGAAAGAACTAACATTTCAGTAGAAAGTTAAAGCAGCTACAAACATAAATAGCATGGCTGCATAAACAAAACTGCCTCAACTACAGTGGACATATTCATCATCGACCATTTCAAAGTACCAACAATGTAGCATACATGTTTCAGTGCTTGAAATCAACATTCATAGCAACTAGACCAGCATCATGGACCCAAACTATCATTCTACAGGCAAAAAAAAACAATAAAGGGCAAGACCAAACCCTAGAATCAAAGCAAAGGGGATTAGGGGTGGATTTCACCTCGGGGAAGTCGACGGTGACTGGAAGAAGTGCAAGACGGAAAAGAAGAAGAGCCACCAGAGAAGATGTAGCAGATCAACCCCTACCAAGACCAGCTGCACCACCATAAGATGGAGAAGTCGAAGGAGGAAGATGATCGCGTCCACGGAGCCCAGCAGGAGGCACAGCCGCGCCGTGGCATAGCGGCTCTGAACTAGCTAAATGGAGATGAAGACCAGAGAGGAACAAGACCGCTGCGCAGCACAACCACCACCACAGCAACACTGCCGGTCACTCAATGCGAACGTAGTGGGGAGAGATGGGGACGACAGAGCTAGAGAAAGGAGAAGAAGGCAGCGGGGGAGGAGGGTGGCTTATAAAGACAGCGGATTTCACCAAGGAGGAGCGCAGGAGGAAGATTTAGGGTTCCCACATGAGCCCGTGTGAGCTGCCGCCGCCGCCCCAAAATCGCCCGTGCGAGGACGGAGAGAGCCTAGCTTAGGAGAAACGAACCATAGGGGCGTTTCCCTAGGTGTAGGAGAGAGGGCGTTTTGCAGCTGGAGGGCTAGGCCGGTAAATGGGCCAATGAAATCAAACAACCACGGTTGCAGCTAGAGGGCATAGGCCACCCCCTGGCCTCTATATCAAACAGGCCCAGAATACGAGTCAGAATCTATGGTCGGTCTATGGCTGCCCGCTCTATAAATTAACTTCCTACCTGCAGCTACCGCCCTAGAGAAAAGACGAGAGGACAAGACAAGAAGAGATCAGTCCCCAAATCCTTAGAGAGGTGTCGTCGCGGGTGCCGATAATCGAGTAGCAATGACGGGGTCGGCATCTAAGCGTCCACGTCGGAGCGAGGAGCAATGCCTATACTACGGTGCCAAGAGGAAGAAGCACCTATATCTGGCGCTGGATGAGCGCAAGAAGGGTAGGAACCTAGGATTTAGCATCCACAAGCTTGACACCGACAACATGGAGGAGGATGACCTCCCCGAGCCTGCCCTCTGATTCACGGCGCCAGATCGTTCGCCGATGGTCTTCCGCCGTGGGCACCAGTATCTTCGTCGCCACCAACCCGCACCTTAGGGAGGGCAATTAGGAGGCACCCCTTACCCTTGTCTATGACACGGAGACCGTCGCCCTCACCATTGGCCTGCACCTTCCCGATGGCTACCTTGGTGACTCAGGCGCCCCCACGGTGGTCGGTGGTGAGAGGCTCTACGTCTTAACGAAACTCTACGATGACGAGCTCCACCAGCGTCCCTTCTCCTTGTGCGTCCTATCCTAGACGCCCACTGCCAGCCCATGGCTTGGCTCATCAGAAACAATCATGGCATGGTCCTAGAATGACGACGATGATGGTGCACCGCCGCTACGGTCGCCGCCGTCCATGGGGCATGATCTGGTCACCTCCTACGTGCTGCACCCATACGGACACACCATCTTCATGTCCATAACCGGGTTTACATGGTCCCTTGACACGAGGTACGGAGTGTGGAAGGAGCTCGGGCCATGGTCATTGCCCTTCACAGGACAAGCCTACTTCGACGAAGACCTGGTTGCATGGATTGTCCTCCATAGCGATGTGGATGGGTATGTTTGCTGTTGCCGGGTTCCCTCCCGTAGTGCTAGCAGTGCCACCACCATGCGCCAGAGTGCAAGATGCTCAAGGAGAAGCTATTCCTCCATAATGATGACAAGTACACGAAAGGAGGATGGCACTTGAAGGCCACTCTTACTTACATGGGTGACAACAGATTTTGCCTTGTTGAGAACGTCCTGAATAGTCAGAATAGTCTTGATGCCATGCTCAATGTCACATTGTTTGGCCTTAGGTATGATCATAACGGGGAGCTATGCACTAAGGTTCGCTGCACCACTAGATCCTACACAGTGTCCAAGAATAATTGACTATTTTCTCATGCGGCATTTTGGATGTAGCATTAGTGCATAGCACTTAATCGGTGGCAGTCGGTAGACCACCACAAGAATGAAAGGTGCGGGTCGAATTTAGAGTATAAAATTTTTATTAAAAATGACAACATGCATATTTATGAACAAAAGTCGTAGAACGCTAAACAAGAATCAAGATATTGCTTTTTAAGAGAGAAATCAACAATGATACGTGTTTGAATTGAGAATTATAGTACAAATCAATTAGAAAATGACATTTTTTCATAAAATACTTTGTGAAGAATGTGAAGGGGTGTTCTCAATCCGTTCCACCTACATGATGCTAATCATTGGAAGGAAAAGAGCAAATGCTTGCTTTCTTACAACTTGATTTATTCAAAGCAAACTAGATACCATATCTGCAGGTCTGTTGGAGAACTCTAAGTAGTAGTTGAAGCAAGGCATTAGGAAGATAGGTCCCACGTATGGAGGGGAGTTTCTAATTGGACGTGCATTCATTCCCTAGGGAGGGCGCTTTAAGTGCCAGATTTGTACACATAGTAAAGGCATGAGGGTATTCAATTTTGGAATATAACATGAACTCTCTCCTCTAGCTAGAGAAATAAGGCTGGTTCTCAATAGTTGAGGAGAGGCGGAATCATTCTTAGAACGGAATGTTAAGACATGACCTAACATGTTTCTAGGCAGGTAACGTATAGAAAACTGAAAGTTGAAGTTGCAAATGAACTCAAGGGGCACAAATGAGAGTGAGACATTGTATTGTGTCTATGTTGCGATTGGACAAAAACGCTTGACTACGGCACAATTAGTTCAAACTCTTTCAGAAGCGAATGCTTTGGAATATTCCATTCTTGTAGCAGCCACCACTTCGGATCTAGCTCCTCCGTGAAAAGGATCTTCGGAGTTTTTACAATGTTCCAATCAATAGGTAAGAAGATCCGCCCACAATATATTCATCTCTTGCTTCAAAGACTAGTTCTTCCGAAGGAGAGAAAGGAAGAGTAGTTGTAAGATAACACCGATAATAGTTACGAGCCATATGTGACTGTGCAAAAAGTATGATTTACCTAGCAAGCATTTCTTTTTTGAATTCATTAGCAACAAGCTGTTTGTGTATCACTTTGAATTGGGAATTCATTTATTGCTTTTTCACTGAAGTACTCTTGCTTTTGAACTCAACGAATCCCTCCTTTTCCACCACTGTAAGCAGTTACAAATGGGGAGGGTATCATTAAACCCAGTCTTCGCTTAAGACTTATCTAGTTTTGCTCCCTACTCTCAATTAAGTAGAAGGGGAAGGGATAAACCTAAACTCTGACCTATGCTGTTGGTCAGAGAAATCCTCCTCTTTTAATAGAACTATGTGAACAACAATTTAGAAAAAGAGGGATGGTAGAAGTCCTTGCGAGGTAGAGCTAGACAGAAGACCAAGAAAGACGCCAGAAGAACGGATTTACATATATATAGTGGATGGGCATTGTTGATATTTCCAGGAGGTCAACTATTTATATTGAATGAGAGGGACCTCTCTTTTTACTTCATCCTCACAAATCACGATCTACTACAAGGATAGTTTCCCAAGATAGAGGGATATTGGTTCAAATCCAATTCGTGAGACCAGAAGAAATGTCAGTGTAGAGAAGCTCGGTTAGGTTATATCCTAAAGCCATTGCCTCTAGCCAGTAGTAGTGGTAGGTAAGCATCTTAAGTTAGGGGTGAAATTACTTTTCTGATAAGAAAAGGGATTCTTGGCAAGCCTATATAATTTCCTCTTACCTCTTCTATTCATTTCCATCTTTCAACATATTCCCAAGCCTCTTCCACTGGTGCTCACTCGGTAATTTCTTGTTGCACTGCTGCCTTGGATGCTCTAACTTATTTGGTTTAAAGGCTTCATTGTACGACTGAGGATTGGGTAGATGTTGCCGCAGCTCAGATTCAAATAGAACAGAACTGACCACTTTCGTCTGAATCATAATTTCTCGAAAGAACTCTTTCGATAATGTGTTTTTATTCCACTCAATTTGATATAGAGATGCTAGACTGGACTGTCTGCTTTCTTAGTGGACATGAGACCCTGCTCCTTCTTTCTCATTTGCCTCTTTCTTGATCGTTTAGTTCTTGGATTTCATCCCCAGTGAGTAACTACGGCACGAAAGTGTAACGTATAACGTAACGATCCTAAAAGAGAACCAAAAGCTTGGCAGAAGAAGAATTCCATTCAAGTGAAGAACAGAGTGAATCCGTGAACCAATGGTCATTTTTCCACTTACTGCTATAAGATATAATTGAATATTTGGGTCTTTAAATGGCTTTTCCTTCTTTTTCCTTGATTCGGTATCAGAGCAACGAACTTCTAGGACTGATCTAGGTTGGAACTAGGCATATAGGCTCAACTAGAAATACCAATGTAGAAACTCTGATTGGTTTCTCATAGGTCAGATCCAATAATAAATAGACTTTATGGTAAGGAGAACAAAGCTAGCAAAGCCAGGTAGAGAGAGTTCTTATTGATAGGAATATCGGGATAAGGGCTTATTGATAGGAATAGAGAAGCATAAGAGGAAAATAGGGCGGATTACTCTATGACTTGTCAAAAATAGGGCTTGGCTTGTAAGGAGTCTAATAAAACTAGAATCGTTACAAAGTAGATATGTTTTTTCTCACCCATTTTTCTGCCGTCTCATATGTATGAGTAGCAGTATTGGCATTGAAAGAACATGGGTACAGGAAATAGGGCGGTGGGGGCTATGCTAGGTCATGTGTCTAAAGGGAAAGGTAAGAGTTTGTGGAGGTATCACTCTTCTATGATATGGGTCTTTTGTACTACTCCTCTCTTCTTGTCGTACTTGTCTTTGTAGTGAAATAGAAATGTATCTTTTTTGATAATTACTTCCTGATTAGTCTTCATAAGAACAAAGTGTATGCTTTTGCTTTCATGCTATTGGTTTGGTCAAGGTTCTCCCACCTAGTCCTAAACCTCTACTCTAGTTACATAAATAGGTGCTCGTACCCCGGAAAGAAAGCCCAGACTTGATGGTGAGACTGATCCTACATAATTGGTTTTGACTTCCTTTAATAAGTGTATCCGCTTCTGAACGGGGTATTTTTCCGTGTACTTGAATAACTCTTCTCTTTTTAGTTTCTATGTTTGGTATTTATAGAAGAGAGACCTTTTTACTAGGAAGAAGAATCCACTTACCTAGTGGGGTTTCATAGACGAATCAAGCCTTCTTTCGCCAATAATTTATCTATTGTTGATAATGGTGTATTGATCTCCTTTCTTGCCGCTACTTGCGTTGTGAGCCAATCTTCAAACTATTATGGACATGTCATTTACTGATTAGCTGCTTGAACGTGGACATATTTCAGCATATCTGCTCTTAGGTTAGTATGAGAACTAGACTCTACTCGGTTCTTTTAGGGGGCTCAACACCCATGGCCAGCTGAAGACAAGCGAGAAAACACACAAAGAGAGGTGGCTAGTGACTCATGCCTTGGCCGAGGGAACAAAGGTCTTTCCCGATCTTGAGCTAGAATCTCATACGTTGGTTGATTTAGCCGTGGAGTAGCTTAGGATCTTAAAGGTATGCAGCGGATTGAACCCTATCGATGGAATGGGGCTTTTCAACTTATGAATAGCATGGATCACCTTCTACTATACCTAGCTAAGGTGCCACAATGGAAGCATACCAAGGATAATGTAGAGATACATCCTACCTATGCCAAGAGCACCCTGCTTTCCCAACCATTGCTTTCTCCTCATGATTGATGTGGATACATGTGATGAGTAGCGGCAATATCAAGAACCCGGATTGTCGGTGTTTCTAACAATCGGCTAGTAAATTTGTATCTACGTGTCTAGCCCTAATGGTGTGCTTAGAGGACACAAGGATTTATACTAGTTCAAGAGGAATGTCCCTACATCCGGTCTGCTATTGCTCGTGTTACCAGCACTAGTGTGTAGTAGGGGTTACAAACGGGCGAGAGAGGGAGAAGGTCCCAAGTTTTTGGTGAAAAGATTGAATGGAGTTGAGTCTTGTTGAGCTCATTTAGCCGTGTGCTCGTGCCTCCCTCCCTCCATGGGGAGTCCT